TCCATCAACACATAGCTGTTGGTTAAGCCTGGGTTCAGATGAGGGCTTATGATTGCGTCTTAATGGGTTTAGTGGGAACAAGGTGTCACAGAAAGCATTGGGGGATTAGCAGTTACAAAAATGTCTCCACCAGCCCAAAGTTTTTGAGTGAGCTGCTAATTTATCCGTCACCTGGGCAAACCGAAATCCTCTCAGTGCAAATTAAATTAACATGCAGTCAAACTTACCAAAGCTGAGGTGCTGTAAAATAGACACCTGCTAATGATTTTGTGGTAAACTCCTATTGGTGTTTCCAGGGTTAAAATGGTATTTGCTCCCACAAAGTTTCAAATTGATTTTCAAAGCGGGCTAGTGTGAAGTTTGACTAGAAGCTGGCCTTTTGGGCTCTTACTACAGCGGCTGTGATTTATCAACAAGCCAACCCTGATCTTCCACTGGTGGGGCTTCCCAGCCCTAAACAAACGTTTCCAAGTTTGTCTAAACCCAGGAGACCATTCGACTCTTAGGCAACAGGGCTGCATTGCGGTTAACCATCACTCTTTAAAACAAATCTTATAATGATCCATGCTGTGGCTGCTACAAAGGCGGCGGATTTGGATCAGAGCCACTGTTATGCTCAATGTCTGACCTCTGGTTCAAGCCTTACCCTTGCAACTTAAAGAACCAAAGCTCCGGCCCTAACTATCAAGCATCTTTCATACAAACAACAGAGGGCACCTGTGGAGCTCCAACAGAGACTGAGATGTGTTACCTAATTTTTACCTTTGGACCATATTCGGAAAAACAGTGACATGTGAGACTAAACTAAATCACTGCAGGTTTATCACCATTCAAAGCATGTTCTAACAGTTACGAGAAGGCTTTAATTAAGTGATCCATCGATTGCAAGAGAGGTTTCCCTGAAAATATCACAGAGTGTAAAGTTCTGGCACACTGTGCAGTAAATCCACACATGGACACAATGAGCAAGCATAATGAAACCATCTATCTTCTTGATACTAAAGTCTAGCATACAGAAGGAACTGACTGTCTTATAAATCTTTTTCATAACCCCAGCCAGTTTGATCCATGGAGTTATTAGGATCCAGATAAAATGCACCATGCTGTCTTTCTCATTCTCTTTCTCCAAGCTCTTCCTTGTTGAGCATGGAGGTCCAGCTGAGACACTTGGCAGAAGATGTGAGGGAGATGAGACAAAGATGTGTAGCAAAGCAACAGGAGAAGAAGGTGAAGTTGTCTTGGGAACCACCCATTAAGTCCACCTCTGGAGCTGGCTCCATTTAATCCATAAAACTGGAGACCTAAAGTTATCTTGGTTAAGGATCTACAAGCACACAGGGAGGGCAGTGATGTTCGCACAGATACGCTTTGTGTCACCAAAAAAAGAAGGCTGTGCAGAGAGAGACTGAGAGACAGACACCAAACTAATAAAAGCCATTTATATATTTATGCATGTGCATGTGTTTTGCATCTGTGCGTGATGTTGTTGACCAAACCCAAAGAGTCCGCACATGTTTGAACTGATTTGGGAGCGTGCATACGTTGTTTTTTTTTAATGATTCCTAATATGTGGCCAAAGCCTTTTCCACTCATGTGTTGTTTTTGTGCATGTCTGTGTATGTGATTATGTAAACCAAATCCAAGATGGCACGAACAGAAAATCCCCAAATAGTATTTACAAGTTTGTGAGGTTTGTGTGTGTGCATTTATACGTCTGCTGGTGTGTGAGGGAGTGTGAGATAGTGAGGGGAACTCAGTGTTCAGCCAAGGACAACAAGAAGTTCCCTTTGGACAGAGGAGGCAGTCATGAATCAGGTGCGATACCTGTGACCCTGTGTTAGCAGAAGGCCAAAACAAACACACCCAAAGTAGAGCCGCACTCCAGCTAAACTTCTCTCTGTGTGGAAGTAATTACCGAGGTGTTGAAGTTGTCACTTTTCCTCTGCTGTTGAAAATGGATTCATGTAAATCTCTTACACAGAAACCCTTTCATTTCATAGGGTAACAGGCGCTAATGTTTTTTGAGACGTGCATTATCCTCAGTATACGTAGATGGTTAATGACACGTCTTTATATCAGAATAACAGGAGACTTTCCTGTTCTATAATGTATGAATGAGCATTTCTTGCATGATAAGAAAGAGACATGAAGCTCTCGTTTACTGAGAGAATATATTTTGGAATGGCCAGCAACAGAGAGAAGTTTTGAAAAGTTGTGGCCTGACTGAATTTTGCCATCTCACCTGTGTATATCTCAAATTGTATATGTTCTAGAATGCTAGCAGTGTAAAACTGATGCTAATTATCTATTATCCCAACAAAGATGTAACAAATTCATTCAATTTAAGTTTTGTTACTTTAAATTAGATGTCATTTGCTTTGTGTTATCTTCATTAACTAGATACCTAACACATCCAATCACTTGTTTACATTCATTAGAAATATGCTGTGCATTGACAGTACCGGTAATGATGTTGCAGTAACCTGAACCGTCTGCGTTTTACTGCTCGGACTGAAGCTGTAATTTCACCATGTCAGGACAAAGCTGCAACAGAGGTGTTTCAAGATAGTGTTTTTCATGGATGTGTCTAGAAGCAAATGTCTTGATTAATGTGCTGGTCTGAGCCAAAGTCCTGTTTGACAGTTATGAGTTCAAAGTTTCTCGGTTTACTAGGTATGGCAGGACAAGCCAAGTGTGACCTGCAGTGGGGCTGTATGGATCTGGACAAGACTCCCCTCCATCCCCATCAGGGGTGGCCAAGCGGACACAGTCATTTTACAGGAGAGGAGGCGAGTGTTGAGTTTCAGTGTCACACAAGGGAAACTCTTACAACTACACTCCTCAACCCCTGCCCTCCTCACCCTGTGTCCCTCAGCACCAGTATCCATTATGTCCCGATATACTCCCCACTCCTTTTCCGTCCCCCATTGAGCTCTAGCTGCCATCTCATGGCCCAGTGCGCTCCCAGACCGTCCGTACTCTGTTTCACTGCTGTAAATGTCACCTGCCTTACACTCTCTCTTCTTTTCACAGAGTGTGCTTTATTCAGCCACCATTTAAAAAAGACCCCTGCTTGCATTTCATGTTTTCTCTTTTTTTAAAAACGTGCCAAAGGGCACTTTTCCTCCCTATCCTCCATAAAATATTGTAGAAGGCATACGATAACGCCTATATATTTCTGTGAATGTCAGATTTTATTTAGTCACTGCTTTGAGACTGGATAGCTGTGAGTAATGCTCACGTGTTTTTTGCAAATCTTAATTTAAACTGTTAGTTTACATTTAGTTCTTTGAAGCCATTAGTGGAAATATAGCATTAAAGTATGGGTTTTTTCCATTCACAACACAGTTTTGTGAGTGTTAGGTCCACAAATAATAGCAATCATTTGTAAAACTGCTTCATCCAGAAAGAGATATGTGTAATACTATCATATGACAGGGTGAAATTTTACAGTTTACATGCCAAGGTCTTCAATCAGATCATATCCCAAGATGATGTTCTGTGCATGACTCATGCTGGAAACACAGCAGCAAATGTGTCAGGCATCTTCATGCATTTCTAAAAATCATTATAGTAAGTCCTTGGTAGCAATCTGGGCAGAGGAATGTTGGACTACTAAACACTTACAATTGTGGATTTTGACTGAACATAACACAGTCACAGTTCTTCCATGATGCAAGGTCTATATTCTGTAGAGGCCATAAGGGACCTGGTCTGAAAGTGATGACAGCATGATTAATGCACACCTCCATTCCCGCTCACACACTAACATCACATGCAAACCCAAGTGCCTTGCTTAAGCAAAACTTAAGAAAGCTTAGAAAAGTAGCCAGTGTTCATCTGAAGATCACTGATAAGATAAGACACAGTTTGGCACTGACAATAACACTGAACTCATTATTTTAGGGATAATAACAGTGAAAACATTTTGGCAAGTTTGGTAATACATCATACTAGAAGAAACTAGCCTTCAATTTATTTAGCTAACTGATTCTTCAGTCAAAGATTCAGCAAAATTTTGATATCAGATAAAAGCAATTTGGCTAAAAAATAATCAGACAAAGAAGAAGTGAATATATTTAAATACATAAGTTGTGATAGAGAATTCAAAAGCTTAGTCCAAACTTTCTCATGATGTGATTCTGCAGAACTGATTACAATATTCACACGAAAGAAATCTGTCTTCTATTAGAACAACAGTACATCCCAACTGGGCTGCAAATGCTTCGCTGTCACGTATCATCTGCACCATCTGCCAATAACAAAATGAGCCCAAATACATCGACAGCCTAAAAAGCATTAAAACACTTTGTGGTTTTGTCATCCCTCAGCAGTCAAAATGAGTTTCTAAAGAGATGCAGTGATGTGAAGGAGCTCTTTCTCAAACCACCTTTGTTAACCTCACCACCTCTATTAATCTTCCGTGCACAGCTATAAAAGAGCCTGTGTGGAAAATGAAGAGGTTGTCTGAATTCAGTGCACGCCAGAGGCCAAGTGGTCAGTCAGGGTAAGGGGAAACTCGGGCTGGCATGCCAATGCAGTGCCAGTTACTGCCAATACAAGCTATCAGGCCACATAGACAAACACCTTGACAAATGGTTCCATACTGCGAGAGAGCATATCTGGACTGCCAAGTCTTACGGCAAACTAAGGGTAGCTTAATGGAAAGCGTGGACTAAAACAGCACACATGTGTTATTCTTACTCCACCTATAAATTTTGTCATCATGATCTATGAAATCCCATAAATTTTACATCAAGCAATACACCTTTTAGAACCATTCAGTCCTCACATTTTTTTTTGTAATGGGGAAAATTAGTATTTTTCATAACCATCTAATTAATTATGTAACAATGTTAGCATGTTCCCTTCATTTAATCCATGATCAATGTATGTTTTTCTTACGGTTACATGCTATTTATCATGTAATTCACCGTAATGGTTTTTAAATATGATCTACTGAGAATTTGTATATACAAATAGAACAATGAATTGTAATGTAGAGACTGTACAATTGCTTCATTTTATTTTGTCATTCATACACAGACGAGACAGTCTAAACTCAACAAAGATAGTAATGTAGCATTTGAATGTTTTGTTGTTTTTGTTGTTGTTTTGTATTATTTACATCTTACTCATGTGCAAATCTCAGACAAAGAGTTTGTCAAAGCAAGTTGAGCAATATGGTTTCCCTTTCTGCTCCTTGAAGATGCCCTGGCTGAGCTGCCGCAGACAAAAGGCACACACAAAGTGCTCGGGGTGAAACTTGCGATCCATCGCAGAGATGCAGCGGCCGATGATGGGCTTTCCGCAGCCACCGCACACAGTGCCTTGCCTGGAGTGAAAGTGAAGCGAGCAGAGGGGACGACCATTGAGCTCCATGAAAATTCCATCAGTGAAGGGCTTCAGGCAGTCCTGCGTAGAGGAAGAGGGGCAGTAGGGAGGATAGAACGTTATGTAAAATTAGGCATGGTGTTATGGAGGAAGAAGTTTAAACTTCCAACAGTTAAACTTTCTTGATTTTTCTATAACAGTTTCAATTAGACACAGTGATGCCAAACCCAACCCACACGTCATACCCAACACTGCTTAACATACAGCAGAGTGATAACTTTTAGAGAGAAAGTAAAAGACTTTAAATCCATCATTCATTTTAAATGTCTATGATGTGAAGGGAAACCAAGCGCCTGGAAAATGGTTGACTGTTACAGCCAGATAATGAAGTGACGGCGCCACAAAATCACATGGCATGGACCTTTAATATGAAAACTAAAGGAGTGTTACAACTGTGTTTCTTTTAACAATCTGTTAATAACCGCTGAAGCATAATTGGAACCTACATGTACAGCACTGAATTTGATTATGGTCGTTTCTCTTGGCCGACACTTTGACTTGTCATACCGTAGCAGTAAAAGCACAGGTGTAACTCTTAACATCACCAGTGGCACTGTTCCATTTATTATGCACTGTAAGCAATGACTGTGGACCAGCATGAACAGCTCCAAAGCCTTGGAACACCTGAATTTTTATTTTTATTTTTATTTTTTTTTAAATTGTTTTTTAACTTTATTGCTATGTCTATTACTATGTGCATATTAGTATTGTACAGCACTTTGGTCTACCAGGTGTGTTTTTAAAGTGCTATATAAATAAATAAATGATGATGATGATGATGATGAGTTATCTGTGTCCATCAAAGGGCTGGTTTCCTCAGTGTTGGTGACAAAACAAACTAAAACAATAGATGTTGCGTCACAGTTTTAGCCTGATTTCATACAGATTACAGTCAAAATAAAGCAATTAATGACTAGCAAATGTGTGATGAGAATAACACTGTGACAGCCGTGTTAATGACTGCTCTTTCAGGGGAATTTCATCTGGGGCTTACAGGACGCAAATGACTCATGGTATGGAAACGTTTCTACTGTTGCTGTGAAACAGAAAAAGTGGCGGGGAAGTTCAAGGGTCCTAAATTGTATGACCTGTTTTATTTATTTTTATTAGTAGGCTGATTAAAAAGTCTCCACCTTTGAGTGTCCACTTCATCCTTTTTTATGGAGTGTCTGACCTTCAGCCTGCTGGAATTAGTTTTAGGTTATTAGGTAGCAAGTACAACTGACCTTATTGATAATGACTGGTTTGTATAAAATAAGTAGTTGTAGTTGGTGTTTGTGATTAATGATTAGCTAAGATATGTTAATTATAATTTTAAGTGATAGGTATTAAGAAATAAAATGCCCTTTATATGTTTTATGGTCAGGTTTATGGACCTCATATTTCAGTACCTGCCAGAAAAACAATGAATACATTCTTAATATTACAGTTGCTCCTGCTTGTCTCTTTCTACTGAGGGCATTTTATGTTTTACACTTGCACATGTTAAGTAAAGCAGAGCTGCACATTGAACCATTTTTGACCAGATGCTACATACAGAAATAGATTTGAAGAGAATGTAAAAGATACCCACACTGAGGAATACACTCCCTTGATTTATCTGCATCATTTCTAACAGCAGAGTATTCATCAGGCATATGGTTTTCATCAGCGTTGAGGTCAAAATGTTGCAAATAAAGCTAACGTGCGGGTATCTTTTCTCATTTATTCTCAGGCTCGTATGCAAGCCAGAGCTGTGTGTGTGGTCTGAGGTAAGAGGCTCACTGCGCAGACGAAGCACTCTGGATGCCAGGTGCCATTGGCTGCAGTCAGGTAATTCTCCCGCACCGACTCCCCACAGCCTGAGCACTTTGGAGCAAAGAGGTAGTAGAAGTCCTTACAACAATATGGCTTCCCATCCTTCTCTAGGAAACCTAGGATAGGCATAAGATGCAGTGAGTTATTTGCTAAAGTTGTGGTTTCAATTGGAGAGAAATAATCCACAAATCTCTCACCTTCCGTTCCAAACAAGCCTCCGCAGTGTGCGCAGAAGAAGTGCTCTGGGTGCCAGGTCTGGTCCAGAGCTGTCACGATGTTCTAAAGCAGCCCAAAATATTATATCATAAATTTACTTCCTTTGAGGATTAGTAAGGTTTGTCTCATCTCACATGTTCAAATGTCAGGGAACACAAAAATGTGAATTGTGAAACACACAAAGTGGAACATAGAAGAAGCTGCATTAGTTTCTGATTAATGACTTTGGTCTGCAGCAGAATCCCAGTATGGTTTTGTGTTTTCTCTATTAGGATGACATGTGGGATATGTTGAGAAAAATTGATTACATACTACTGTATGTCATCATCCAATCTTCAAAAGATTATTGTGTAAATAAATTGATGTACTATATGACAGAACAAATTATAGCTTAAATCAAACAACAGCGCAGCTGAATTTGAGTGACATTTAGATACCAGAGAGTTCCAGATTGGTATTTTGGTCATTTTCTATGTGCATTTTCCACCAAAGTGAATTCATTAAAACATGAAATTTCATCCTTTAGTGGAGATCATATTAACACCTATTTTTATTTTAATCGTACTTTCTATGCAGAGGCAGGGTTATATATGAATACAGTTCTCCTCACCTGCATAATAGGCCCCTTGCAATAGGCACAGCGTGGTGAGAAGAGCTGATGGTAGTCTTTGTCACAGTACGGCCGTCCGTCTCTCTCAAAGAAGCCTGTGGTGCTCAGCTCCATCTTACACACCGCACACACAAAGTGTTCGGGGTGCCACACTTCACCCAGTGCTGTGATCATCTGGAGAAAGGAAATGTCAGTGAAAGAGGGAACAAGAGGTTTTGATCTCTTTCATCTTGTTTGAATTTCCACAATTTGGTACCAGTGTGACAAATTCTCTTCTTTGTGTCCTGTAGGTCCAGATTGTACCTTTCCTACAATGCATTTGTTGCAGGAAGCACAGTGGCCCTTGGCTGTGGTCCGTACACCGATCTTCTCCAAGTCAGTGCTCAACCCTCCCAGCAGGTCATCTATCATATCCGTTTTCTTTCTTTGCGTTGTGGCTTTTCCATCTGAAGCCGCTGGAGTGTTGCTGCTGCTGCTCGCCTGTTTTCCACCTTCCGTTTGCTTTTTTTGTGTAAGTGATGGTGGGTCAGTTGGAGGTTCTAGATCCTAAATTATGGTACAAAATGTAGGAATAACAGTTTTATGTACATATTTCCTCAAAATATATTAGCTGTCTATTATATTTATTTTATATTTAATCAGAGTATTTTTAATGTTTAAGAACAAAATGCTTATTGGTCCAAGAGCTTGAGTCTGATATAAGTACAATGCTGCCCTCTGTTGTTAACCATGTCATTTTACTAATGTTTGAAAATAGATAGACATAGTTTTTCAGGCTTCACACTAAAATAAATAAGCTCAAAGGGGCAACACAGATTACGTTCAATATTTATAAAATATGTATTTCCACACTGGGGTAGTACTAACCCCTTCAGCTAGACCCATCAGGTCTTGCAAGATTGAGTCCAGCTCCTGAGTCGGTGAGTCAGGTTCCACAAAAGCTGGCACAGGAGTTGGAACATCACTAAATCCCAGAGAGGAAAAACACAAATGTTTTAAAATGCAAAACTGACATCCTGTAACATCATTAATAATTGAAATGGTTGCATTTCTGAACCATAGCAAAAATATAACTGGAAATTCTTAACCTTTTAGACCTTAAGAAAATAAAGCACATCTACATAAAGGCCAGAATATGCTGAAGAACAATGCTTTCATTTTCATTGTATTTGCTCTTTTTGGGTGTGGTCTGAATGAAAGAAAAACCTTAGCATTAAAATGTTAAAAAGAAATACATAAATTAATTAAAATGTATTATTTAAATGATTAAGCTAATGATCTTCATGCAGCACCACTATGAATCGGGTTCAACTTTGAACTTCACCTGTACACATTTGAGGAGTTTGAGACTTTTCCATTTTTGGTAGTTCCAACACAAACTTCACTTGGCACCTGCGAACACAACCAACATATACTGAAGTTTCTGTACTTAAAGAAATTAAATTACATGTTAGGTTTTAAGTTGTTTTCTTTAGAATTCCAGGTTCATCTACAAATGAAATGGGGGATAAAGCAGAAACAGGATAAGCTCATGATTAATGAGTTTTGTCTTTTTACTTCTCTTTTTGTTGCATCATTGCTCTTTTTCTCAGGGACGCTGTCTGAACCCGCTGGATTCAGGGCCAGCTCCTCTAACAGCAAATCTGCGGCAGGACACACACAATAAATCTTTAAACCTCAGAAAAAATACTCATGCAACCAAATATTCATGTTACATAACGTTTGTACGGCACACATTGCTCTTTCACACTTATTGTCCTTTGTGGGTGTTAACTGTTAGACTGTATGCATATAATTTATGTATAGTGAAATATTTTCTATGAAGTAAGTTACAGTGGATTTCAATACACAGATCAAGATGCTAGCAGACTAAGGTTGCTCATGCAACTTGCGTTCCTCAGGAAGTGAGGGCATACCACATTGCAGAAGTGAAACTTGTGATAATGTTGCAAGAATCTGGTGACATTTGTTACAACAAATACAGCACTCCTTCACACAGGGCAAACCACACATCTAGGGAAATGGGAAGCTTTGTATGAGTAAGTATTTTACATAGAAGTAGCAGAAGTAGCAAAAAAGACAAAGGTTCATTTTAAAAAGTTAAAGACATGACTTTAACTTTCAATGTCAGTAAGTCAGTAAAGATCATCATCTTCAAACATCATCGCACCTCAGAAAACTATTTTTTGACACTGTGAAATTAAAACAATTTTTCTTTTTTGTCTTACCTTTTGACCGTCACCCTTATTTCATTTCCAGTATGCGAATTAAACGACTTCGTTAAGACTTGTAAAATTCTACTGTATTCTAAATGTTACATTGTATTTGATTTGTAGGGAATTGCTACATGTAGAGCACTACGAATCAGAGGTAAAACACAAGAACAGTGGTAGACAAATTCCTTCTAATGAGCTGGATCATTGAGTACATTAAATATTGTACTCAGAGTCTGCTGTATAAATCAGTCTGAGAACACACAAGACTGTGGTAATACTCCATAAGCACTGGCTGTGCTTGATGTCATGGTGTCAACACACCAACTCCTGATTTTGCTAACAGTTTCGACCTCAGTTTAAATTGTACCATCGACTAGTTTGAGGACATTCATGAAGGTAAAACATGACAGAAAGTTCTTACCGAGCTCATCCATTTTGGTTCCTTCTGACAGCATAAAACTTGAATGTGAGTGGGTGGCTTTTTTTCTTTTCTTTG